GGAAGACTAGCACATTTCGTTATTTGCGTGGAAGACTAGCACATTTCAGATTTTTGCGTGGAAGACTAGCACATTTCAGATTTTTGCGTGGAAGACTAGCACATTTCAGATTTTTGCGTGGAAGAGTAGCACATTTCAGATTCTCGCGTGGAAGACTAGCACATTTCGTTATTTGCGTGGAAGACTAGCACACAAGGCGAATTAATATAAGGTTGTAGCAGTCGTAAAAAAATAAAACTTACATACATATGTATGTTTATACTATAATTACTTCTCTTCGGCCATGCTGAAAGTTAAATGTTGTATATGGAGCTTTTTGGCCGGTTATTGCAAATAAAATAAACGTTTATTTTTCCTCCTACACCTTTCGACATTCGCGTCTTTCTCAGGGAATCTTTATTTATAAATAAATACGAAAAAACATATACATACAGTATCATATCAAGAGCACCCCGTTTCAAAGTGATATTATTTATGTTATGTTTATTTATTTACTTAAAAAACCTTCAATTAAAATAAAGTTAATTCTCTTAAAAAAAATCCATATTGGCCCAAGTTTAAAGCCCAGGAGAATACTAAAAAAACTCAACAAATTTTCAACAACGCAAACGCAAATGAAATATTTTCCTTCGAAGAACTGTCCAAATATTTTCATTGGCAAAAAATTAAGATATCACATGTACGGAAAATTACAATAAAAAATAGCAAAAATCAAGTAGACATGGCAGTAAAATACGACTTTATGCAAAGCGAGGAGAAGTTGAACCTAATGAAAAAAAATGTTCAATGGTCATCCATGAAACACTGTGAATTGCCTAAAGCTTATAAGGGAAAAATACCTTTAAAAAAAAGAAAAGTAGATGATATTCAACAAATGATTAGTAAACGGTATATACCGTCTGAATTTCATGATTTTTATAATGGAATTATAGGAATATAGAATAAACGCATGACTTTTTAATATAAATTATGCTTTTATGATTTACTATAAGCCTGAAGTATGCTAGTCTTCCAAGCGAGAATCTAAAATATGCTAGTCTTCCACGCAAAAATCTGAAATGTGCTACTCTTCCACGCAAAAATCTGAAATGTGCTAGTCTTCCACGCAAATAACGAAATGTGCTAGTCTTCCACGCGAGAATCTGAAATGTGCTACTCTTCCACGCAAATAATGAAATGTGCTAGTCTTCGACGCGAATAGTGAAACGTGCTAGTCTTCCACGGTAATTTGAAATGTGCTACTCTTCGTAGGGAGCGACGATATGTTCACGTATATTTCAAACGCATTCTGTTTATCCCGGCTGTGAAATGGGATTATCCGGAATGTATAAAGAAACGCAGCCTAAATAAAACTAAGCCAGCTTACAAATTCTTTAACGGGCTTAGTTTCTTATTTTGGTGTTGGAATTGCCCTGTATTTTTTAAATTTACCCTTATCAGGCTTTTATATTGGATACGGCAACACTATAAAACAGCATGGTCGGATAAAAGCGCAATGTTTACGTGATTGCAACAACACTTTGACTAAATTCCTTAATTAGTTACTTGCCAGGTAATAAGTAATAATTTACATATAATGCGCCCAAAAAACAAACCTAAAGCAAAGGTGCGAAATGCGAATTTGAGCAAGGCACATAAGAATCTTAAATTCAAACGGAAAGCAAAGGAGATGATGGAGCAGCACCGGAAACAAGCACTTTTAGAAAAGTCCTACAGAGAAAAGGAGGAAACTAAACTTGACGATACCGAGGGTAAAATTTTGGAATTTATAAGAGAAGAGTATAAGGACGATAATGAGGAAGAAAATATTTTTGGTGAGCTTATGGATACACTATCTACGAATGGTAAGCATATAAAAAACAGTAAAACTAAACAACAACAACAACAGCATGGTTAAATTGTATCCAATTTAAATAGATAATAGATATGTAAGGGCCGATGATTTGAGTGATGAGGTTTCAGATGAGAAATCGTTAGTCACCGATGAAAAGCATAAAATCAAAGAGGACATAGTAGAAGAAAGTACAGAAGTTGAAGAATTAGAACCGGTGAAGTCGGATGATACATTTGCGCTGCATTTTGATTTCGACTTGCCGCTCGAAAAGGTTGATAATTTATGGTCTCAACAGGCTCTTATTAAGAAACCCATTTTTACATGGCCTCAGTTAGGCATATTGAGGACACAAATACCGCAGCTTGAATGTCAAGATGAAGCAACAAATTCACTCGATTGGAACAGCAGTATCAAACGACTGAATGCTGATAGTTTGCGAAGAATGGGTGTCAGAGCAACGATACTAGATAATATATCAAAGGAAATCACACCCCTTCAACTAGAAGTTTTTCAAATTCTTAATAATTACCGAGATTTCTGTTACCCCAGCGTATCCAAAGACAAAGTAAATGAATTACGATTTTGTTACACCGCACACGTACTGAATCACATGCTAAAAACGCGCAACCGCATTTTGAAACATAATATGAAATTGACGTCTACGCCAAATATGATCACAATACCGGATAGCTATCGAGATCAAGGATTAGCGCGACCCAAAGTGCTCATTATATTACCTTTCCGAAAGTGCGCATATCAAACGGTGACAAATATGGGGCGGCTATTGTATGGTAAAAATATGGGTAGGTAAATGTATAAATTTTAGTTTTTGCTTTAAATTTATGAACAAATGGATTAAATTTCACAACTAAAAATGTAACAATGATTTTTTTTTATAGATGGAAAAATAATGAATTACGCCCGTTTTACCGAGGAATATACCGGCGACAGCTTAAGTTTTCCTAAAACCCAACCCAAATCGGATGATTATGTCGAAACTTTTAAAGGCAATATTGATGATAATTTTAAGATTGGCATTTCTATAACTAAGAAAAGCTTGAAACTTTATACGGATTTTAATGCGTCAGATATAATTTTGGCTTCGCCGTTGGGTTTACGGTTGGGAATGGCTTCAAACAACAATGAAGCGGGTGCCTTTGATTTTCTGAACTCCATCGAGATCCTAATATTGGATAAAACCGAGATGTTCCTAGCGCAGAATTGGGAAAACCTACTACATGTAATAGATCACTTGCATTTGCAGCCACAATCTTTAAGTAGCGTAAATTTGCAACGCGTTCGTCCATGGTGTTTGAATGGTTTGTGCCGCTTTTACCGACAAACTATTGTACTTTCATCACATGAGCTACCCGAGATACGTTCACTATTCTCCAATAAGTGCTTCAATTACAGTGGCAAAGTTTCTGTATCGAATCCAATTCTTCAGGGCGACATTAACAACGTGTTCGTCACAACACCACAAATATTTCACTTAATGGACACCACAAGTTTGGATTCTGTCTTCGATGCACGTTTCCGATATTTTGTCAAAGAAATTCTGCCACGCTATCGAAAGCCGTCGTTCGCCCATTGTGTGATATATGTGCCCAGTTACTTTGACTACGTACGCTTGCGTAACTATTTGAAAGCAGAATCAATCAATTTTGCACAAATTTGCGAATATACCAAGAGAGAAAAAGTGGCGCGGGCACGTGATATGTTCTACCACAGTGGTGTGCACTTTTTGCTTTATTCAGAGCGATATCACTTCTATCAGCGTACAAGAATAAAGGGCATTCGGCATTTGATTATGTATCAGCCACCAATGTGGCCGCAATTGTATTCCGAGATGGTTAATATGATGAATGATAGTAATCAGAATGCGGCCGATGGATTAGACGATTCGATGAGCATAACTGTGCTATATACGAAATATGACATAATACAGCTAAATGCGATTCTTGGAACTGAATCGGCCGCAGAGATGCAAAATTCAAATAAAACTATACATAGTTTCACAATTAAGTAGTAAATGATCTTGATTAAATACATCTGTATGTTTAAGTTAGATTTTGTAAATATAAAAAATTAAAAAAAGTGAACTAGACCATTATTTTTTTTTGCATTCCCGTAATACGTGTATTTTCAATAGCAGAATTTCAATGATTTAAATATTTTCTACTGTCAAGTATGTATTTTCAATGTAATCTTTGACAATACCGCCAGCACTCAGCATTATTTTGACCCTTGAATACGTTATGTTTTACCATCACCACGCTTATGCTCGATAGTTCATGAAGGAAGAGCTGAAATTAAAATTTTTGATTCATTTTATTTACTGCACATTCGTCATTTCTGACTCACCCGCCGAACATAGGTTTAGGGGCATTTGGTGGAGGATTTGTAGTTTGTGCCAAGTTGCCAAAAGATAAGCCTGTGTCTGTGGAGCCCAAAGCTTCAAATATATTGCTACTCTGTGCTGTTGGCGCACCAAATGAGCTAGAAGGTGGTGTGGCAAATGTTCCGAATCCTTTGGGGCTGCCAAAAGTAGGCGCACCCCCAAAGCTAGGCTGAGCGCCGAACGCAGGCGGGCTGCCGAAGGAGGGCGCGCCACCGAATACATTACGCGGAAAGGCACTTCCTTGCGGCTGCTGTGTGGGTGAACCAAAACCAGTGCTTGACACTGATGACCCGCCCTGTGAGAATGAACTAAACGGTGATGTGGCTACTGCACCAAAACCACTTGTTGGTGAGCCAAAAATGTTTGATTGTTGCGAGTCGGGTGCTACAGCTGCAGCACCACCGAAAATAGACCCTCCCGTTGCGGCGGTACTTTTAGCAGCACTACCGAAAGCCGAGCCAACAAAACTAAATCCTGAAGCGGTGGATGTAGATTCCGGTTTGCTGGCTGCCGCAGCAAAGATGCTACCGCTCGATTGACCCAAAGAGTTTTGCCCAAATATCGAGCCACTGCTTGCGGCCGTGCCAACTGATGTTGGTGAACCAAAAACGTTGACATTCTCCGGACTCTTTGCAGCGCCACTGCCAAATATAGATCCACCAGTATTTTCTGCACTCTTAGCAGCTGCATTGCCAAATATCGATCCCGCATTAGCTTCAGCTGGCTTGGCAGGGCTGTTACCGAAAATCGATGCGGATGTGTTATCACCACTATTAACGGCGCTGTTACCAAATATTGAACCCGAGGAAGTATTTGCACTGGAGGGGTTTGTAGGCATGGTAGCAGCAGCTGTAGCGCCAAATATGCCAGCCGTGGTAGCACCAAAACCGCTACCAGCGTTACCAAAAATACTACCACCACTTGCTGGCGCTTGACCACCCAAAGGCAAACCTCCGAACGCTGATGCATTGCCTGCTGGTTGAGTGACATTTTCAATTTTAGATGCAGCGCTTACGGAACTTGCAGCAGGCGTTGATTGTCCTAAAGAGCCAAATAAAGAATCGCCCGTTGCTTTTGTAGCGGCAATCGCAGAAAAGAATGCACCCGTAGCTGCGCCTATTGCTGCTGAAGAAACAGGTGTGGGTGTGGCAATTGTGGTTGCTGCGGCTGATGAAGTAGTGGCAGGTATCGGTGCTGAAGTGGTAGCAACTGATGGGACAGTTGCTGCAGCTGTTGTGGTCGTAAAAGCAGTAACTATTGTTGTTGTGGCAGGAACTGTTGGCGCATTTGTTATTGCAGGTGTAGTGCTTAAGCCGGCAGAAGAAGTCGGAGTGCTTGTAGTTGTTGGTTTTTCAAATGTGTGCAATTGCTTGAACACGGTTGAGTTGCTAAAGGAGAACGCGGAAGCGCCTGTACCGCTAATAGAGCTCGTCACTGGCGCAGATACATTAGGTGCTGTGCCGAAGCCAATGCCAGTAACACCACCAACACCAAAAGTAGAGACATTTGTGCTGTTGGCGTTGAATGGTGGGAATAATGACGTTTCTGTTGTTGCTACGCTTTTGCCAAATATTGATGGCGTAGACGTTACAGTTGTTGATGATGTTGTATCAGTTACTTTAGGCACTGACAACGACGTTGTGGAGTCGGGCATAGGTTGAAAAGCGCCTTGGGGATTATTCTCACTATTTGAGCTAAAGGAAAACACAGTGCCCTCTTTTGGCTTCACCGCTTCTGTGTGTATGGGAAAAAGAAAAATAAACACTTTAAATATATATTTGAGATACACTTACCCTTTGCAGTGGGCTTGCAGATATTTAAAGGTTTCAAAATCATTTCCTCATTATCGCTCGCTGTAGCAACCTGTGCCGATTTAGTGACATCCTTTGCTGGAACAGCAGCTTCAGCTGTACTTTTCGTTGGCATAGCTTCAGTTTTTCCTAAACTGGGAGTACTAAGATCGAAACAGTTTTTAAGATCATTCTTTGAGGTAAAAAAATAGTTTGCATCACATGCACTATTGTCATTAAATTTGTACATACCTTGTTGCACCTGAAAACGGATGTACTGAACTAGCAAAGGATTGATTCTCATTCTGTTTATTGAAAAGGGTAGATTGCACAGTTGTTGTGCCAAATATATTTGCGGTTGCAGCGGGTAAACTCGTAGCGGGTGGCACATTCGGTGGTGTTCCACCACCAATTTTTAAGTCGGTTAGAGCACTAAAAGTGTTGCCAAAACTAAACGATTTCGATGTGCTGTTCATTTGGTTGGCGGTATTTGAATCAACCGTTTTACTTGGATTGATAAATGTTGTATTTGCATTGGTATTCGCGGTCGACTCTTGTCCGAACCCGGTAAATCCTTTTGATCCAATGTTAAATGTGCTCATCGGCGGTTTGTTGGCATCAGCTGCATCGCTTTTTGATATGAACGAAAAGTTAGGTCCTGCAGGAGAGGATTTTTCACTCATGCTAGATTCGTTAGTTTTGCTCTCAACAGCATCGGATTTGAAAGTGTTGACATTCCCGATGAATTTCGATAGTTCAGGCATCTTTTCACCCTTGGCTGACTCAGTTTTTGAAAACATATTACTGCTGGTAAAATTAAGTGTCGAAAATGGCGCATGGTTTTTTTGCACAGACTGCGTTGAATTAGCATCTTTTGCTTGTGTAAATGTTGCTGCAGAAGTCTGTGAATTGCCAAAAAGTCCGATTGTTGAAGGTGTTTTCGTAAGCTGGAACTGTGGCTCATGCGGTTGCTTGGGTTGTGTCGATTTAAATGTAGTTACAGCCTTCTCTTTTTCCTGGGCCTCATTCGCTTTTTCAATTGCTTTAATAACTTTGGCTTCCTTCTCTTTGGACTCTTTTCTCTTAATTAGCTGTTTCGTTTCCAAAATAACCTCAGATGTTAGTTGAACACGATTTGGGCGTTGAGGTTTGATTATTGTTGTCTTTACTTGTTGATTTGTAAAATTACGTAGAGCGTTTAATTTGCTCTCGGATAATTTATTAGTCTTTACATCTGTGATATTGTGCATACTCATCGAAAGTATAGAATCTGCTAAGGACGCGATACCGCTAAATGGATTGGCGAGGCGGTGGACAAATAAAAATTGTTTTTACGAGAAGTATAAAATAATTTTACTTAAAAAAATTGTCATGTATTATTGTTTGTTTTTTTGTTTTTTGATTTAGAGAACTCAGGATTTTTTTTTTTAATGCAAAGGGTGATCGATGAAACTAGTAGCGACTACTAGGATTGAAAGCAGAGATTGTAATGGTTGTATTTTTTATAATAACCTATAACCTACCGACTACAAGACTTTTAAGTAAATAAAACAAAAAAATTGTAGGCCTAACTCAGTAATAATTAAAATTTTAGATAATGCATACAAATGTTTGGGAAAAAAGGTAATTCAAAGCTTGGCTTGCTTTCGAAAATTAGATATTTTAAATTTTTTGTGTGTTTTAAAATAATATTTTTAACTACGTTAATCAGACATACGAAAAAGCATAAATTCAACTTACGCATCTGATTTCATCTCCAGCGTATTCAATGTACTTTTGCTCACCCTGCCACTGCCCAAGTTTTTTTGCTTGATAGTCGATTTTATATAATGCAATTTCGTCTGCTGCTGTGTTATTAAGTTTTTCAGTTTAGTCATTTGTTGATAGATGCCATCTAGGCATGGTATGCGCATTTGAGACTTGGAATTACGTCGCACCAAGTCCTGATAATAAGTCCACTGTATGTCCATTTGTTCTTCAAGGCGTTTCATTATACCTTGATTAATGGCAAGATAGCCTTGTAGACTCTTCAATTGACGTTGACTTACGCAGTCATATAATGATAAATATTTAAAACCAGCTTCACTGCAGATATGTATATTACAGACGTATTTGTAAGTTTGGTTAAAACTATACTGGGAAACTTACTCTGGATTTTTATACATTTCCAATTTAGTACGACACTCGTTTAGCATTTCATATGATTCCGTTAGTGAATGTCGAAGATCTTGAACATCCATCACAAAGTCACGTTCATTTGCTTGTTCAATGATTTCTTGTAGATTTATTAGACGTTTACTATAACTCTTCATAACACTTGGATCTTCATTCTTACGAAAATAGAAGAAATGAAAATAGATAAGTAAAAACTCGGCTTTGAAATAATAAAAGAAATCTACTCACTAGTGCGAGTTTTGACTTTTGACCAAGTTGCGTTATTTCTTTTTCAAAAGCCATCATTTGCATTACTATCATTTGTTGTATTACACTATTCGTTTCGTTTAAATTCAACATTTGTGCTTTTGATTTTCCAGCTGTGTCGATTTGAACTGAATTCTGTTGAGACAGCTGCTGTGCTTGAATTGGTGGTGGCGCAAACTCTGGCGAGACAGTATATAGAGGCTTGAAAATTTCTGCTGGTTGTGTAGTTTTTATTTGCGCATTGTTAGCAATGGGTGCAGTTTGCACCAATGGTTTGTCTATTTTAATATAAATATTACATCATTTCAAATACATACTTATATACATTGCTGATTACATTACTTACTTAACAAATTAGATTGCGATTCATTATTAGTAGTGGCCACTCCGATTTTAACACCTTGACTCTTTTGGTCCCAACCACCCGAAAATAAATTCTGGTTTCCTGGCGCGCCAAAAGCAAATGTATTTTGATTGCTGAAATTGTTTTGCGTTG